AAATTTAAATATGTCATACTTTATAATCATTGTATCATCTTCGGACTTCAAAACTTCTAATATGTAATACAAAATTATAAATTGTTTTACTTGTCTAACTTACATGTCTAAAATGCTTTCACATTAACTCGCCCAAGTACTACACTCATTATTTAAGCACGCTATCTACTCACATTGACTCTGATTCCACTGTGTCTCATAAAACACTTATTTTCCTCTTTAAATATTTACCAGTCTTATTTTTGTTTTGTACTATGGCAAGCAGGGTCCTTCTGTCGAAAGTTTCAAAGTGTACACTGGTCACATTCAAAACAAATATACAGATTCATGTTACTTTAATGGATGGATAAGCATATAGCATGCATATACATAATATCTATAAACAAACATAAAATATAAGAGTATTTGCTACATCTCTCTATATAAAATGTCTTTTTATTTCTTTGATAATCTTTGATTATTTCTAATAATTGCTATAACCCAATTCACTTTTTCCTTTTTCTTCTCTTTTCTTAGTTTTTTTTTAAGTTATAGGTCCACACTTGGCTGTACCCAGGGCTTACTCCTCACTCTGTTCAGGGGTCACTCCTAGTGGTAGCAGTGGACCATATATAGTGCCAGGAGTTAAACCCAGGTTGGCAGTATACAAGATGAGCACCTTGTACACTGTAATATCTCTCCGTTCACACACACACACACACACACACACACACACACACACACACTCGTCCAATTATCTTTATTTGAACAGATGCCTTGTTGTTATTTGTTTGAGAAAGGGGGTATCATACCTGATGGTGTACAGGAACTTCTCCTAGTTCAGTGCTCAGTGAATGTTCCCTATTGGTACTCCAGGGAGTATGTGATATCAAAAATTATTTTCTCTGGCATGCAAAGCATGAAGCCCAGCCTTTTGAAATAGCCTCTCTGCTACTGAACTACCTTATTTGATACTATTGCATCAAATTTCATTGCCAGCTTATTTTCTTAAATTGGAATGTGGATAATTTTTCCGTGACTCTGGGAAAATGTGAATTCCATTCATAATTTTTAATTAGTGTATGGTTTCATAAAGCAAGCTTAGCCAATAAATTGGGTTTAAGAAAAAGAAAAGCATGTTATTTGGTTGGATAGATTTCCATAATCTCCTTTGAGCAGAGCACATGTACTGCAATGTGTTCTATGTTTTAGTGAGGAATATTCAAACTGGTACTAACCCTCCTTTTGAAGACTCTCATTGTAACATATAGACTGCTGTTTTTCTTTTAATTTGTGACATGCTCCCCTCTATTGAAACAAAAAGAAACCTATGACATGAGCTACATAAGAGTTTGAGGGTGAATCTACATTATAGAAATAATTATTTCTATGGGTTCAAGATCAGCAAAAACAAAGCCAAAAAAACCCCCTTATTCCCCAGGTCACTATTGTATTTATGTATATTTATTCTTGTGTGAATTTATTTTTTATTTTAAATTTATTTATATTGATTCAAGTCCTGTGATTTGTAATAGTGTCATTGGTGATTACCACTTTAACCAAGACTTTTGTGGTTGGGGGAAAGTTCAAGAAGGTTCAGTTCTAGTTCTGGCTTTGTCACTGTCCAGCTGTGTGAGTTTGAAATAGCAGTCTCTGCTTTGGGTCAGTTTCTTATCTGCAAGATGAGGGCTTAGATGAGGTGACCTTTAGTGCCCCCAACTCTTACATGCTCTATTTCTATGAAGGCCATGAGTCTTTCTGACACTAGAACCACATCATCAATGAGATCAAAGGATGAAAAGCTAAGTGCAAGTAAAGGTCGAATAACACATTTAAGGGCAAGTGTCTCCAATACATCCAGGCTCAGAGGAAAGCTCAGAATTAAAGTTGTATCCTGGAATCCTTCTTTAAAATGGGCTGACACAGTTAGAGTATTTCTGTACCACCAGACCAAAAGAATAGCAAAAAGTGGCTCTAAAAAAGTTTTGTCATGATAACCTCTCAGTGTCTGTATTGCAAACCATAATGCCCAAAAGTAGAGAGAGATTATGGGAAATCTTGTCTGCCATGGAGGCAGGGGGAGGGTGGGAAAGGGGGGGGGGGTATACTGGGGATATTGGTGGTAAGAGGTGTGCACTGGTGGAGGGATGGGTGTTTGATCATTGTGTGATTGTAACCCAAATATGAAAGCTTGTAACTATCTCATGGTAATTCAATAAAATTTAAAAATGAATAAATGAATAAATAATTAAAAAGTTTTGTTCATAAGTGGCATACTTTTCTGTCATTAGATACCAGACCTAATGTGGTTTATATGTCAGTGACTCCATCTGTTGGGAAAGTAGCCAAATACCAAGAAAGAATAAAAATGAGACAATACAAAATAACCACTTAATAATGTTTCATATATTTGGGGTAGTTTTAAGTCTTTTGAGAAATTTACACATATAATTTCTTCACTGGGGAGCTCCTAGGGTCTGTATTTAAAGCCTACCTATTCTATGGAACTTCAGGAATTGATCATTTAGTCAAACTTTTATCATGTGCTAGGTACTATTGTCAGTGTTTTATATGTCTTTATTTAAGATGTTTAATCCTTAGAACTTTATAAAGTCAGTCCCATTACTGTATAAAAAAAATGCATGAGAGAACTGAGGCATCACACACCAGGGCTGATGCTTGCTTACTGCTCTAAGACCTTAAATATCACAAAATGAGTTTATTGTGTCTAGAATCACAAAAAGAAATAGGAGTTTCTGAGATTCACAAGAAACTCCTAGTTCTTGTTACGGTGAACTAAGAGCTTCTTGTGATGGCTGTTACTATCACAAGTTCAACTAAGAGCATGATGAATTTGGAGCTTCTCTACTGCTTCACTTCCAGAGGTCTGAGTTATAGTGCAGCAGATAAGGTGATTGCTTTGCACATGGCTGATTCGGGTTTGATCCCTGGCATCCCGTATGGTTCCCTGAGCATTTCCAGGAGTGATTCCTGAATGTAGAGCCAGGAGTAACCTCTGAGCACCACCAGGTGTGGCTCAAAAACAAAACAAATGAAAACTACTAGTTCTTTCCTTTGAACTAGTGAATTAGTGCTCAGTGACAGATCAGCTGGACTCTGTTAAAAACAGACAAGACAAAGAGATGAAAGCATTGATAACTCACAAAGCTCAGAAAAAGATGATTGGGGAAGCAAATGTGCTTATCTGTTTGTCTATAGAATGTTTCCATCGCACTTAATCTATGCCAGACACTACCCTGCTTACTCTTCAAATTATAGCTCATGTTGTCTCTTACCCCTCTGAAGCAGGAAGTGTAATTGTGCCCGTTTTGTATACAGGGAGAGTAAAGTACAGAGAGGCTAGATAACTTGTGAGTCTCATGGCAAGTAAATAGCAAAGTCAGGTTATAGAACCTCTCAGACCACCTCTTGAATATGTGCCCTTGAACACAATACTGTGCTTCCTGTCACAGTTTTTTCCTTAATCTACTATCTTCATTATAAAGTTGGAGGTTCATACATTGGTTTATTTATTTTTGCAGGCGGGATCATACCTGGCAGTGCTCAGAGCATTCTTCTGACTCTGCAGTCAGGGATCACTCCTGGTGGGATTTGGAGGACCATATGGGTCTGAACTCCAGTCAGCCTCATATAAGACAAGTACCTTACTTATTATGAAATCTCCTCAGCTCCTTATTAAAGGTTCATGCCTAATGAGTTTTGAGAAGTGATTATACATACTTTGGTATTATGGGTTAAGGGATATACTTGTATATTTTTTGTGTTCTAATTCATAGTGGGCCAGAGCAATAGCATAATGGGTAGGGTGTTTGCCTTGCACGTGGCCAACCTGGGTTCGATTCTTCCACCCCTCTAGGAGAGCCCAGCAAGCTAGCGAGAGTATCTCGCCTACACGGCAAAGCCCGGCAAGCTATCCATGACATATTAGATATGCCAAAAACAGTAACAAGTCTCACAATAGAGACGTTACTGGTGTCCACTCAAGCAAATCGATGAGCAACAGAAGGACAGTGCTACAGTGCTAATTCATAAAAATTTTTGTTGCTTTTTTAATTGATTAAAGCATAAATATCCAACTGTTTGAAAATTTCAAACTTAGATCTTTTCTACTTTACCAAGAACTCTTGATTTGCATTTAAGATTAGAATAAAATTTTGTTGAAAGGTACCACCATATTTGCTTTCTGAACATGCAAAGTTACCAGGGACAAAGTGGCTATAATTTAATTTATAAAACATGTATAAGTGTAATTTAGTTCTAAAGCAAGAAATAAGGCATTGAATATAATTCTTCAATTTAATCCCTTGCATCCTCTAGCAAAATAAAATATTCAGCAGAAATAGAATTCTTTGAGATTGACTGCCAGTATTAGGAAGCTTATAATGGGCATTTGATGTATTTTGTGTCTAAATTGTCAACTGTGTTTTTCCTGTTATTTCTTTTCAGTATTATTGATGAACAGACTATTTGCTCAACATTAACATTAGCTTTTGAAAATAGAGCTAAACAAGTAGAAAATGAAACCACTGCAGCCATCAGTCATTCAACAGGATGGTTTCCTCTCAAGGATACCCTTTCACTTGCTTGTAAAGGAAGGGCATGGTCAGTCCAGAGAAATCTTTTAACAGCTTTTAGGCTCTGCTAATATCTAGTGGCATCCTTTGAAGTGTTGTATTTCCAAGCTCGCCTAACCCACTTAATGTTATATATTGTACAGCAGGATCCTAATTAGCAAAAGTCAGTGAAGAGGAAAACATGATATTAGCCAGCGAATATTTTATTTAAATTGTGGAGTATGATAGACTACATGAAAACAGAGTTCCTACATCACATAATAGAAAGCTCAGCTGACGTTTAAGAATTACTTCAAAATATGTATTTAAAAGCTGCTAGAGAAGCAGTGAGTAGCTATGTTCAAAATAAGGATGGCTGTCTTTAAAGGAGAAAAATATTTAAGATTTTATTTAAAACCTCTATACACGTATGTCTTCTTTCTGCAGCCCAGGGATGGAATCGACAGAATATTTTCCAGACCAGCATATAAACTTCAGATATGTGGTCCCAGCCAGGCAGCCTGAATCAATGAATCTGAAAGCCTCAAAGAGCATGGACCTCGGTAAGTGGGGTGAGGTGACATCCAGGTCAGCTCTCCAGCATTGGCCCATCCATCTTCTCCGGTGTCCTGCTTTTGTTCCTTCAACTCCAACCTTATAGGGCAAGGTCTACTAAAACCTGGAAGAGAGGCTAATGGTCAACCTCTCTTCCTGTCTTCTTTCCCACATTTAATTCTAATTACCCCTTTTTAAAAAGAGAGAGAAATGATTTATTTTCAGGAGATGGTCCACATAAGTCAGAGAAATTGTATTATTCCTTCCAGAGTAGCTGAATGTCAGGCGCATCTTTAACTCATCGACTCATGTTTTTATATTATTAACTCTGCCAATGTCTCCCCATTGCCTCGTGCATAGCTTTTTTAAGGCTTAGGGAGACATTGTGATTAAATGAATCCTGTCCCATAGGGCTGTCCAGTTTGGTGCAATAAATAGGGTTGGCAGCAGTGGAACTGATCCCTTTAAATGCCCACCTCAACCCCTGAAGGCATTGTTGGAAGGGAGAAGGGTCCCCCAATATGCCGGACTCAGGGTATCAAGAAGTCCTGGGTCCTTGCCTGAATGACCTCACTGAGATTCTGGGCTTCACTGGGATTTTCTAGCTAATCATTAATAGCTAGGGCAGAGCAAAGGCTCTTGTATGCTATATTTTCCAGATCTTATAACATGGAACCCTGAAAGACACCCAAGATACTCAAGAACATTGCTGCCCTCCCATGGGCTTTTGGAGAGAGAGAAAGCTATTAGACAAGAGTGTGGGTACAAATAAATTGTCAGCAGAAAATCTATTGCTTGCTGAATGCTCAGAGGCCAAGCTTTGCTAATGTTTTCTTCTTGAGACATATTACATATTTCATTAGTAGCAACAAGAAAATAGAATAATCAAAACTGTGTGTTCCACAAAACAATCTGATAAATAGTGCTTATCTGGTACTCATTTACAGGAGTACAGAAAAATGTTCAATCATGATGAAACAAGAGAAATTGATTCTATTCTCTATAAATTAACTAGATCACTGGGATACATTTGCTCTAATCACCTGTAGTAAGAGATGAATAGGAAACCTTTGCAAGGAAGCTCTCTCAAGCACTGGTCAGAACAGTATTTCTCAAGCGTGAACCTTTGTCAAATCAAAGGAATTATGTGTGACAGTGACATAGGTTATTACTAATAACTTAAGAAGCAATTTATTTTATTGTGTGCTTGATAAACATTTCCTGTTCTGTCTTCCAAATTTCTCTATGAAAAAGATAAATGGATACAAACTGCTTTTAATTTGGGAGAGAGAAATATATTACTGTTTTCCTCATGTGATTAAAAATGTGCCAGTGATGGAATAGTTCTGAACATTCCTCTGCAAATAAAAATGCTGGCATCCATTTTGCTTGAAAGAAAAAAAAATATCAAGCCCATAAAAATAGAACCTAAGGCATGTCCAAAAACAATATTTTTTTACTTTTTTTTTTATCATTTGAAAACCCTGTTTGTACCTTGCACTGAAGTAGCCCTTGAAACTATGTATATTGGGGAAATATACATGCACTTTGTGTAGTGATACTACAACAACCCAAATTATAATAATGTTCATCCAGGTCGCATAATTGGCAGAGGTCATGAGCTCTTTTCTTTAGGCTACAAGGCCTTCACAAAAGCATTGGCTAAATATGCGCCATGCAGCTAAAGTAGTAAACTGGGCTGAAAGGATGTTTTTTAAGTAGCCATCAGTATTAGTCCCTTGAAGAAAATGCCAATTTGAAATTAAGTCTTGCAGAGGTTTGGAGGATCAGTGTTTGGGGACCATTCTGACCCTCTAGTCCTAGAGCAATCGAATGAATTCAGGAAATATGTTGATTTTCTCTATGAGTGCACTCAGATGAGACCTAAGTGATTAACATTTGAGCATTTTTTGCTATTTGATGGGTGAATAGAATGCTGCATGGAGGCAGGTTTTCCATATGTAGCAGTAGACCAACATAAGAAATAGGTATATCTGTAAAGAAAGACTGACGTGATGCTTATAGGAATAATCCGCTCAGCAGGATCAAGATTCTTTCTTCACAAGATTAAAAAAGAATCTGGAGGCTTATAGGTTGAAAACCAAATTAGTGCTATTTGACTACTTATGCCCTAGAAAAACAGCTGTTTCTCTTGCTTGAAAATACAAAAGATAAAACCTCCTAGTTATAACGTAATTAATTTATGTTGGCTATTCCTCCTCTATCTGTATGTTCTGTGGGCATCTTCAAAGAAGACAGGCCGCACCAGTCCTTTTCATTTTGTTTCATTTTTGTCGCTTAGTCTAAGCTGGTACATTAACTCTTACATATTAATTAATCATTGTTTATATGTTCAAGTTTTGTAAAAGATGGGTGGTCTCAATTTTCTTATTTTCACTTAGGTTTTCAAAGTAAAATAGAAAAATTTTTATACTGTGAAAACTAAAGCCTTAATCCTCATCTATCTCACCATACCCTAATACAAACATGGTTTTAAATTAGTTTTGTATGTATATTCTTCTAGTAAGCTCTGTACATACTTGTGATCCCACCTTTATATATGTGCCTACATTAAATGTTATACTTCTTAAAAATTCAAGATATCAGTAAGAGCATTATATTTTCAATTCTACTAATTGTACAGTGTTGTATGAGTATCTCAGTTTGCATCTTGCTTTTCCCCTTTTGGTTGGATTCAAGTTTAATTATTTAGTTTTGTTCTGGTCATTTGTTTGTATTTCTTAACTCATTGCTTGCTTAGTTGTATCTTGTCACTGTTTCCGTTTGTCAATTCTTTTATCTTTCTTCTTTAGATTAATGTTATGTATGTCACAAAAAATTCTGCAGTGTGTTGTTCTTTTTATTTTAATAGGTACATTTTTTCATGCTCTTTTAAAAGCTTTAGATTTTATATGAACCTCATCAATTTTATTTTAAAAGGATTTTAAACACCTTTTTTTCCCTAAAAAATGTTGAGCAATCTGTATTTTTATCCATGGTGCATAAGGTGGGAAAACTTTTCCCCATGTAAAAAGGCAAATTGTTTATAACATTTGTTGAGTTTTACATCTTTTCCTCATTAATTCACAATGTAATCACATTGCATACAAAATAATCTTACATACGTGGTTCTGTTTTATACACACATTCTATTGATATACTCTTTTGTACAATGACAGCATCATCCTGTTTAAATTATCATGCAGTTATCTTTTGAAAAACTTAAAAGGACAGACTAAGACTTTCTCTAATTTTTTTTTGTAAAATTGCATTGTTCCATCTTGTGCATTTATTGACTGTGTCATCTTAGATTAACTCATCAAAATGACCTTAAAGAATAAATAGGAATGCATCTATTGTTACGTGCACTTGTGTCTGTTCATTGCAATGCTTGCAGTTTGATTTCTAATAGACATGGTTTTTTTATCAAGTTAAATAAGTTTCCTTTTATTCCTAGCTTTTTGAGTTGTTGCTTTCATTTGTTTAAATTATTTTAAGGGAAATGGAAGTTATATTTTATTAAGTGTTTTAAGGATTTATAGGAATAGATGATCTTAAGTATTTTATTTTTCTGTTAAGATACTGAGTTATATTAATCAATCCCCTAGTAGTAAATATATGATTATTTCTCAATGACTCTAATATTTTCTCTTAAAAATGATATAAATCAGTAACATATTTTCAGTGTGTTCAAAAATGTAGGTATCAAACTTCCATTGGTTTTGCCAATGTCATTAATGCCTTTATAGCCATTGTAGATGTTTCAGTCTATTCTGTTTTTGTAGTTCATGGCTACTTCTGCTGGCATGCATGTGGCTACGTTTAAGTCAGATGAAGAATGATTAAAATGATGAATAAAAGGAAATTTATTTTTAAATAATTAGATGTAACTATGCTTATTCAGGGAGGTTAGGGTGTCATTTTCTGGGTTTTCCAGAAAATCAATCTTTTCCTGCTAATTGTAGACTTTCCTCTATTTATTTAAATTACCAGAATTACAATGTTCAGTCTGGATCCCTTTAATTTGTTCATAATTGAGCTTGTGTGGGTGTTGAGTTGGAAGCTCTCAGGAGCTAAATAACACAGCTGCCTCTTTGGCCTTTGGCATAGGGTTTCCCCCCAAAGAGCTGCCCTGGTTGGCTGTTTGCCAGAGAGTTACATTCAAAGACTTTTTCATGAGGCATACACATTTTTTAATTTTCAGGCCTGGTGTTTTATGACTCTATAATATCATTTAAGAATTAGCCTGAATTATTTAAGGGACAGCACTGCAGTATTTGGGCCCTTTCCTTGGCTTCATCTATAGCTCCATTCAAACTTAACTTTAAAATGCCATTTCCCACAAGACTGTTTTTGAGAGTGTTTTTCTCTTCTGTTTCAAATTGGCGTCCGACTCCCATTTGAGAAGGGTGTCCTGTAGCCCAAGGAGGAGACTGGGGCAGTGCAGATGGAAGATGCTGGCCAGCTGTCCTGCCTCTCTTCAATGAGAGGAAATGAGCATAAAGTGATGCATGAGGCATTCAGACGCAATTTTAGGAAGTTTCCTGACAATGAAGATTGTTAACATTCCACGTCTCACAGTCTTTACAAATTGCTGGTGTTTTGACTGACTCTCCCTAAAATCAAGAGTATAGATAAAGTGACAGATTTTCTTTCAAGAAATGTGATTCAGCAGTTTTATTTTCTGTTCTTTTAATTTTATTTTTAAGAGAGAAAACGTGTGAAGAGACTTACTGTTGACCTTAATTATAAATCATGCAACTTCTTATATCAACAAATGTAACTTTGGGGGGGTTACATGTTAAATGTAACCCCTTTATAAAGTAAAGTAAAGTAAAGGCCCTCCCGTTGATCGTCGATTTGCTCGAGCGGGCCCAGTAACGTCTCCATTGGAGACTTTGTTGTTACTGTGTCTGGCATATCGAATACTCTCGGTAGCTTGCCGGGCTCTCCGAGAGGGGCGGAGGAATCGAACTCGGGTCAGCCATGTTGGCCGCTTGTAAGGCGA